ACCTCTGCTGTGCTAAGTTTCACATCAAGTCATTCTTCGGAAGACTCCCTTCACATCTCCTGTGTCCTGGCTCAAAGTTATTTGTCAATATTATTTAGATCCTCCTCAGCAAATATGAAGATGCTAAAGAAGTCAAACTCTAAACTTATCTTATTCACAAAGGAGAACTATTTCATTCAACAAGTAATTTTTTGAGCACCAAGTGTGAATTAGATAGTTCAGTCCTGACCTCTGACATCAGAGGGAATGTAGGAAACCGCATAGAAAGTGGCCAAGTCACGAGGTCCTAACAGCTTATGACAAGGTGTTTAGATTTTAATTAAATGTGCTAGGAAGCTCTTGAAGCTTTAAGCAGGGGAGTGACATGACCTGATTTGACTAGAAGACCACTCTGGTTGCCATATGTGGCAAAAGTGGAAGCAGGAACTCGTAGGTGGCTTTTGCAGTGGTCCTGGGAGAGAAAATGGTGGCTTGAACTAGGGTGGTGGGCAGGGAGGTGGATTCTAAAATGGTCAAAAATAGAGGAAGACCAAGTTTTAGAAGGATCACCTTTTAGAGAAGTTCCTTTCCTTTTGGTTATGTTGAGTTTGAAATGTCTGTGTAACTCCCCCAATGGGTGAAACTGGGGATTCTGGAACTCAACATGGAGGGTTTGGGAGGGAGGGAGGGTTGGTGCTGAAGATGTGCATTCAGAAGTTGTCAGTATATACTAGTAGATGGTTTTCAGAGTCATGGGCTTGGATGATAACAACAAAGAAGAAAGTGTAGTCAGACAAAAGAATTGGAATCAGGACTGAATCGTGAGGAACGCTAATGGTTTATATCAGCAGTTCGCAATCTTAGTGGTGTCACCCGAAGGACTGGATAAAACACAGATTGCTGGGCCCCACCCCAGAGAGTCTGACTCAGTAGGTCTGGGATGGGGTCTGAGAATCTCCATTTCTAACAGGTTCCTAGATGCTGCTGAGCCAACTTGGAAATGGAGGAAGAGCAGCTGGCAAGACAGACTGAGAAGTGACAGCCAGTGAGGTAGGAGGGAAACCAAGAGGGTTCCAGAAGCTGAGAAAAGTGTGTTTCAAGAACGCAGGAGTCAACTAGGGAGAGACCGAATAGACAGGAAAGAGCCCACTGGAGTTGGTGACATGGAGGTCTTTATGGGGACTTGATGGGAGTAACTTCAGTAGAGTGATGGGGACAGAAGTAAATTAAAGAGGGAATGGAAGGTGAGGGGATAGAGACAACTCTTCTGAGTTTTCTCCTGAGAGGAGCAGAGTGTTGGGCAGTAGTTGGAGGAGAGTGTAGGCGACAGGGAGGGTATTTTGAACTCTCACAATGAGGGATCTCTTCAGGGATATTCATGTCCTTAAAGACCCGATTCCTTCCCTCTTTCCAGTCTGCCCTCCCAGGCTGGAGTCTGATGGCTGCAGCAATTTGAGGAACCGCGTCAGAAATCACTACAGGCAGAGGAAGAGGACAGCCAGCTTATTTCTGTGGTCTCCTCTTAGGAGTGAGGAACATTTTCTCTAAAGATGTGTGCTCGTGAATTGAAAGAGAAGTCAATACAATGAAGTCAATACGGTACAGGGCAGCTCATGTCTGCGCACTTTTTTAAAAGAATATATATGTTTTTATTGATTTTAGAGAGGAAAGGAGAGAGAGGGAGAGATAGAAACATCAATGATGAGAACCATGGATTGGCTGCCTCCTGCATGCCCCCTACTGGGGATCGAGCCTGCAACCTGGGCATGTGCCCTGACCAGGAATCCAACCATGACTCTGGTTCATAGGTTGACGCTCAACCACTGAGCCACGCTGGCCAGGCTGTCCACTCTTTGATGTTTTCTTGATGGCTAGACTCCAAGGTCTGGGATTAAGATTATGTGAAAGGGCCCTGATCACGTTTCTGGGCTGCAGTCCTGCCTGCCACTTGTCCCTTCTTTAACTGCAGTGTTGAAACTCCACTCAAGCTGTTTCCTCAGCTCTGAATTTCTTCACCCTACCTCTCTTCTGTGGGGTTCTAGTTCAGATGGGTCTCCCTCTGAAATCTTTCCTATTGCCCCATCAAACCCAATCTTCTTATTCCTGCTCTGGTAGCAACTGGCTTGTACCAACCAGTCCCGTTTTGGTCAGCCCCTTATTTATCTCTCAGTCTTTAACGAGGTTGTAACTGCTGGGAGGAGAGCCTCCGGGCTTTGCCGATGGTAGGTGCCCAGGAAAATCAGCTGAACATGTCCTCAGTGTGGTTGCCTGCCCCAGCCATTCGTTTTATTCTTGTTCTTATTTTCCCCTTGGCTCCAGCAGTATTGTTCCTGTTCTCTGTCTATGTAGTTATGTGTGAGGTCATCTAGAACCTTTGCCACACTGGGGTCCTTCACTTGCTTTCTTCTGCATCACAGGTTTTATGGAATAAACTGTTCGATTTCGTCAGCATTCCTTTGTCTCCCCCCCGCAGACTTGGCTTCTGACTTGATCTATTGTTCTGGAAACTGGAGCTTTCCTGTATTTAGAGGGCAGTTCCTGGAACATCAGTAATCTTTCTTGTCATCAACCAAATGATTCTAACGCCCAGTTCCAACATGGGTGTGTGTGGTTTCCACCACCATGAAGTCATGCTCTGAAGATAAGTGGGTGTCCTGTAATTCAACTCAATTCCGACATCAGATCCCACAGGTTAAGCAGCAGCGGTTCTCAACCTGTGGGTCGCGACCCCTTTGGTGGTCGAACGACCCTTTCACAGGGGTCGCCTAAGACCATCCTGCATATCAGATATTTACATTAGGATTCATAACAGTAGCAACATTACAGTTATGAAGTAGTAACGGAAATAATTTTATGGTTGGGTCACAACATGAGGAACTGTATTTAAAGGACCAGAAGGTTGAGAATCACTGGGTTAAGGGTTCAGTCTCGCAAGAGTGGCTCTCACAACTCATAGAAACATGACATTTACTGGCTCAAAGGTTTATTAAAGAAGAAATAACAAGAACAGCCGGACGGAAGAGATGCCTAGGGCCAGGTATGGGGGGAGGATATGGAGCTCCCATGCCCTCTCCAGACACGCCACTCTCTCCAAATCTCCACGCATTCACCAATCCACACGCTTTCTGAACCAGCCTCCGGTCCCCTCCCTGGAAATCAGGGGGTGGAACTGAAAGTTCCAAATCTCTATCCATAGTTGGTTTCCTTGGCAACCAGCTCCCATCCTTAGGTGCTTTCTAAAAGTCACTCACTAATATAAACCCAGTTGTGGTGGAAAGGAGCTTGTTATGAATAAGGAGACACCCATGTCACTTTTTTTAAAAAAAATATTTTATTAATTCTCTACAGAGAGGAAGGGAGAGAGATAGAGAGCCAGAAACATCGATGGGAGAGAAACATGGATCAGCTGCCTCCTGCACACCCCACACTGGGGATGTGCCCACAACCAAGGCACATGCCCCTGACCGGAATCGAACCCGGGACCCCTCAGTCCGCAGGCCGATGCTCCATCCACTGAGCCAAACCAGTTATAGCCCATGTCACTTTTATGGCTCCGAAATGATTTGAGGACAAGAGACCAAGTATTATGATGAAAGATGCTCCCATCGCCCTATCACACAGGAAATCCCAAGAGTTGTGGGAGCTGTTAGCCAGGAGCCATAGGTGAAGGCCAAATATATATGAGAAACATATTTTGGTCATCTGAATGACCAGATATATATTTCTTATAAATCATAACATCACACGGGTGAAGTCAGCTGCCACCCTCGGCCCCCACTTGGTGTGTACACTTACCTTCTTTTTTCATTGATTCTGCATAAGGCATATCAGAGCAAACTGATACAGCCCAGGGAAGGGTGCTACTGGGGAGAAGCTTTTCCTCTCATGCTTTATTAACCCCAAATTAATACTGATACACGAGGTAGGTAACGGTTTTATCATATGCCTCAACACCTGAGAGGAGTAATAGCACCTATTATCCTCTCCGCTGCAGAATCTGATATTCTTTTTTTTTATTATTGATTTTTTACAAAGAGGAAGGGAGAGAGATAGAGAGCTAGAAACATCAATGAGAGAGACACATCGATCAGCCGCCTCCTGCACACCTCCCACTGGGGATGTGCCCGCAACCCAGGTACATGCCCTTGACCAGAATCAAACCTGGAACCCTTCAGTCCGCAGGCCGACGCTCTATCCACTGAGCCAAACCGGTTTCGGCCAGAATCTGATATTCTTGCTGTCAGTGTAAGAAATGCCCAAACCTGTGGAGAATCTTTATTGAGTTTATTTGAGCCAAACCGATGACAATTGCCGGCAAGCAAAATCTCAATGGATTGAGAAAATGCTCCAGGGAATGGCAGATTTGAAGTCATTTTCAACCATTTTCATCTCATGGCACACATAAACTAATTCCTAAAGTTATGCAGCATACCAAAATATATCTTTTGCCAATCTGACTAAAAAATAGCTATACTTAAAAAAGTGTTTTAAATATGTTTTTATTGGTTTCAGAGAGAAGAAGGGAGAGGGAGAGAGAGATAGAAGCATCAATGATGAGAGAGAATCATTGATTGGCTGCCTCTTGCATGCTCCCTACTGGGGATCAAACTGTGACCTCTTGGTTCATGAGTTGATGCTCAACCACTGAGCCATACCAGCTGGGCAGGTATAATTTTGATTCATTCACACCAGATGATTATTGTGTTGGCTGTTGTCATTTTTTTTTTTTTTAAATCTAAGGCAGTGGTTCTCAACTTTGGCTGCACATTAGAATCACCTGGGGATCTTTTTAAAATCCTGATTTCTGGGCCTCATCCTCCGGAAATTCTGTTTCTTTGTTACTAATGTTGTGGCCCCACCCCATAACAAAGAAACAGAATTTTCGGAGGACGAGGCCCAGAAATCAGGATATTAAAAAGACTCCCAGGTGATTCTAATGTGCAGCCAAGGCTGAGAACCACTGGTCAAAGGGCAAAGAGGTCAGTCCCATGACTAAATAGTCAGGCATTACGTTTTAAAACCGGGGTTCTCAAACTTTTTAAACAGGGGGCCAGTTCCCTGTCCCGCGGGCCGTAGTTTGAGGACCCCTGTTTTAAAATGTTTAGAATGAAAGGAAAAGAGGGAAGGAGGGTTACACAAAATCCATTAGTGTAGATTAAGGAGGCGGGACAAAGCAAAGAG